AAGAGGCAGTGAATTCGAGCCGAGTGCCAGAAGTACTGCTCCCTGGTGTTATTTAGAGCCTGGCCTCCCTGTTCTGCTCCCCTTCCTCGAGGGCCGCAGCCATGGGCAGCAGCCTGACCTTGGCCCCTGTCCCTCTGCCATCACTGCCGCCTCTGCGAGCTCGGCTGGGCCCTCGAATTCCGGCAAGTGCCGCCTCCTTCCTTCCGACCCTGGAGTCCGCCCTGCGCCTGTGACCGGACCGCCCTCCCCTCCGGCCTCCCCTGCCCCGTGACTCCCTCCTGGGGACACCAGTAGTGGCCGCAGCCCGCCTGCGCTCTGTCTAAACACTGCCACACTTCCCCAGCCTGCGAGGTAGGCTCAGCTTTAATCCCCTTGCAAAGTTTGACTCCACAGAGGTCCCAAAGATCACGTGAAAGGCAGGATGTCAGCGGGAGAGTGGGCCACACAGCCACCTGACCCAAGGCTGGCTCACACTTCCGGTCCTTCCGGTCCAGAGGAGTTGTTCATTACACAGTCCTTAGAGAATTTAAAATTTAAAAAAAAAATTGGGGGACTGTACCAGAGATGAAACCCAGGCCCTTTGCACTGAGCTACAATCCTCAGCCATTTTTAAGGTAGTTTTTTGTTTGTTTGCTTTGTTTTTTGATACTGGGACTCTTCACTCTGGACCTTGCACTTGCCAGATGCCACTGAGCTAAATCCCCCGCCCTTATTTTTAATATTTTTATTTTGAGACAGGGTCTTACTAAGTTGCCCAGTCTGAGCTAGAATTTGTGATCCTCCTGCCTCAGCCTCCCGGAGTGCTGTGATTACAGATGTAGCCCACCATGCCTGGCTCCGTGGGAGATATTTTTATGACATTTTTAATGCATCTTGGTTCACAGCCACACATCTTCCTTTCCTCCTTCATACCTGAAGATCAGACCCTGAAACTGAGGATTGAACCCTGTGTGTACTAGGGAAGTGCTGTACCATTGAGCTACACTCTGGCCCTGAAACTGCCTCTTTGGTTTGCTTGTTTGTGCGTTGAGATGGGGCCTTGGGCCCTCACTGTGCTGCCCAGGATGGTCTCAAACTCCTGGGCTTGCCTGATCCTCCTGCCTCAGCCACCCACATAGCTTGGGGTGACAGGGTCAAGCCCCAATGCCCAGCTGCAATGGTCTCTTGATGAACCTCATGGTCTAGAGGTCCTTGTGTTGTCAGTCTGTGCTGTCCAGAAGCATGGAATTGTGGCTAGAGGACAGGGTGTGGGACTCCCAGCCCTCCAGGAGAAGCTTCGTCACTGCCCTTTAAGGAGCTGAGGCTGCATGACCTACCCAAGGCCACACCATCCCAAGGCAGATCCTAAATCAGTGCTCAGGCCCTGCTCCCTCCCACTCTTGCCTGCTCATTCTCAAAAAGCTCTCCAGTTTATGCCTGTATTAAGTGGCTTACGTCTTCCTTTATTTTACATCCAGAATTTCTGCAGCAATTTATCCAGCAAAGGTCACTTTGCTTTTTTCTCTTCATAGTTTGTCTGAAATGACCTTGTCATGTGGCCCATTGCATTTTGGTTTTTTGAGACAGGGCCTCACTGTGTAGTGCAGGCTGGCCTCCAACTCATGATGATCCTCCTGCCTCAGCCTCCTGAGTGCTGGGATCACAGGTGTGGGCCACCACACCCAGCCATGGGGCCCATCTTGACATTCCTCTCTGGGGAGGTAAAGCTCCAGTCTAGTCCCAGGAAATCCTCGCTGATCTTGACCAAACTTGGAAACTCCGTATGTACCCGGGCCACCTGTAGGAAAGGGCAGTGGTTACAGGCCACCAACTCAAGACGTGCTCTGCAGGAAAGAATCCTAAGGAAATTCAAGAGCCATGGCGGGCCTGGCATAGAAAGAAGAGGGAAGGAGGGAAGGACCGCAGAAGCCTGGGACCGGGCCCACACCTGGGACAGGCAAGGTGGCCCCGGAACGAGACTCAGGCAGCACTGGGGCCCGGTGTCTGCTCATGGCAGCAGGGTTTTGCAAGGGCTGTGGCCTGGCTGTTAGCCAGGACAGATCCAGCTCCTGGGGCCTGGGGCCAAGAGAGGGGTCAGCCAGGCCGGAGATTGGGTCTCCCCTGGTCCACCTGGATCCCTGGCCTCTCTACTAGGGCTGGGACTCACAACTTTGGGGATCAGGAAATGGCCACTTCGACAGGAGCCCTGGGTGCTGACAGGGAGGCACACAGACCCTGGGCCAGGTGGGGCCCTCACCCTGGGCACTGGGCAGCCTCCAGGATCAGCCCTGGGGCCTCCTGCTCCACTGTTTTGGGGACAGACAACCTCATCTGGAGCTGGCCACTTGCCCAGAAGGACAGGAGCATGGTGGAGAGGCCTGTCCTGGGGAACAGCTCCTGCAGCTACTGTCTCGAGAGAGAGTTGGGGCCCCACCAGAGCCTTCCTTCCAAGCCTGACTCCTCCACTGCACAGGGGTCACAGAGGTGTAGGTTTAGAGTCATTAACAAGATGCTATAAGGAGACATCACTCCAGGAGAGCTGGCCCATACCTCTAATCCCCAAACTCTGGGAGGCTGAGGCAGGAGGATTATAAATTCAAGCCCATCCTGGATGACCTAGAGATTTAGGAGGACCCTGTCTCAAAACAAAAGGTTGAGTAGATCCGTGCATAGGCTTGGAGTTCAATCCCAATTACGAAAGAAAGAAAGAGCGAAAGGAAGGAAGGAAGGAAGGAAGGAAGGAAGGAAGGAAGGAAGGAAGGAAGGAAGGTCAATCTACTGATCAATTGGAGGCTGGCCCTGTGCAGGGTTCCCTTAGTAATGGGGGCCGCTCAGAGCTCTCACCATGTGCCAAGCACAGCCCCTGGCACTGTAATCGTGGGAACCTGTGGAGAGCGGTGTGAGCCATAGAGGCTCCATGTTAAATCTTACCCTCCATTGTATAGAGCAAGGAGACTATGTTATGAGGAACTGCGTCCTTGTCAAATTAGATGTTTACCTTCAGAAGAACGTCTTGTAAACCTGAGAAACAAGAAAGCCCTTGAGGGTGGGGAATTTCCAAAGAGCTAGGGAACAAGGAAGCAGGTGTCTTTGGATAAGGGTCATGATGAATAACCAAACTCACCTGCGAAAAAAAGGGAGGAGAATAAAAAGCACAGGCAGTCT